AAAAGCCACATTTAGCCTTACATTGTACTCTAACCCTATAAATTTCATTTTTAACAGAGGTAATTTCCCTCCCATTGAGGACTGACCATTCAAGAATAGCCTCCCTAAATTCCACAAGTGAATTAAATCCATACCCATCTTAAACTTATAGTCCTTGTTGAGGTGATCTTTTCTAACCCTTTCATACTTGGGCCTTTCATCATCATAAGAATCATTCAGGTCATCACTATTCAACTCATCACTATGGTATTCATCCTCATTTGTGGTCTTCTTGGGCCTACCAAAAATCCCACTAAGACTTACATCTTCATTTAATGGCAATGTAACATCGATTCCTTCAAATCCATCAAGAAGAGCAGTAGCTCTCTTGTAACACCTCATATCTACCTGACGGATAATAATAAAATCAGAGTTCAACACAAATATGATGCTACATTTACAACTTAAAATCAAACTTCATTTAATCGCATATGAAACAAATACATAACACTTAATTCGGATGAACCGATAACAACCTGATTTATTCTTAAAAATCAAAAACTTTTATTAATAAGCAGCAGAATCACATACTCAACTTCAATTCACTTAACATATTTTATTCAACTAAAGTAACTTCAAGACAACAATTATTTCATGTAATCAACTTGAAAATTCAGCAACTGAAATAAATGTCAATAACTAAACATCAAGTGTTCATCCCCCCGAGTGCTACGTATCAGAGCGACGACACCGACTCGAACTAACAAAGTAACAACTATCCTTCTTGATTACCTGCACGTTACCAACAAAAGGTAACATTCAAACATAAGGGGTGAGATATCGGATAATATAATAAGTTGTATGATAAATAATATATTAGATCAGATCATATAAAATCACCACTTCACAACTTACAAACAACTTTAATCACAACAAAACATCAACACGGCATAACTACTAATTCACAACTTTTAGATAATACTTGTCACAACAAGTCAACAATATAAAGCAACAACAAATATATCATCACCACAACTCAAGATGCAACATCAACTATGACTCAATTACAATGCATATGCATGTGGTACCATTGGAGCTGAACTCTCATCTTAAAAATCTGTCAATAAATGGAGGTATCAACAAGGCATAAGCCTTCTTCGCAATTTAATAATCCAGGCCATCACAAAGTATGAAAATGTATGTGACTCAATGAATACACTATCACATACTCACAACAATCATCATCCATCGCAAGGTATAAGCCCACATCACCATTATTACCAGTAAATAGAGGTAATTCATCATGATTTAAAATTTTCTGCAACTTCGCATTATCAACAAAAATTCACAAAGACAATCGCAACAACACAACAACTCAACATAAATCAACATTGGCTATAATCCTACCACATCAATCAATGATTCAACATCAACTCAACATAATTCAACTTTGGTTGTAGGCCTACAACTTGATATTTCAACAACAATAATTAACAAAACACTGGCATAAGCCTACAACTTAGTACGTCACAACAACAATATCATATCAACAATAGTAATTTAACAACAACATCAACAAGAAAATAATATTGGCCATAAGCCTAACAATTCAATACCACCTGAAATTCATATTTTTCAGCAAAGTATACAATACACTGCATCAACCAAAATATACTACAAACGCTCTGCAAATTTGTTCGGACAATTCGACTATTTCTGGTTAATTAACCTTTCGCTAAATTACCAACATTTTCTACTCTGCACTACTCTTATTGAGTCTATACAGTTACTGCTAGTATAGGCACTACCTGTTACTAATATCTCACTGCCAAACTAGTACACCATTACTCCCTATTATTGAAAATACTACTTGTTACCAACATACACTACATGTTATCCACTTAATAAATTATTATTAATTACCACTTTGATCTTCTACCAATTTATTCTACTAATTACTTCTAACGATAATTCTCTGCTAAATTATTGCATATGTTATTAATATACTACTCTGCTAAATTAATTAATATTAAATCTGTAACTAACAATAGTCTCTGCTAAATCATCACTAGTACTACCATTAAATTATGTTCAGCAGTTACTAATGTCTTTTGCTAAATATACTAACTCTGCCCAACTAACTTGATTAATATATTAATGATTACTAACTACCTACTAATGTTGTGAAATAGGTATATATATGTGAATCCGCTACAGTAGCACCTAATGACTAAACAAATCAATTAGAACACTAAAATACAATGTGCCCCTCATCACCAAGGTGTGCCACTCGGTACACCCCCTCTCTTAAGCATGTGTCGGTCGTCACCCTCCTTCAACAACACATGCCGTGCGGCATGTTGTATGTGCCACTCGACACTCCCAATTTTGTGTCGTCCATCACCATTTGTGTGCCCTTCAGCACACCTCCTTCGTGTGTATTTCTTCAGTACCTTTCTGTTACTTTCCCGGACTGCCTTCAATTAACAGTCTCACATCAGAACAATATATATATATATATATATATATATATATATATATATATATATATATATATATATATATATATATATATATATATATATATATATATATATATATATATATATATATATCATTACAACAACATCAATCTTCACATAAATATAATTTTCCAGAACCAACAACATAGAACCACCTCAATATGACAACTAAATCAACACAAATTAATTCTCACAAACATATTCATAGAAATCTGATAAATTTTATAAGCAACCAACCACAACAAATATACACGTACAGCAACGATTTTACACAATCGAATTCTCACATACTATTCATCATAATTCCCATTATAGAGTCAAAACCCCACCCTTACTTTTGATTGGAGACCGTCCTATAATTCTTCGATCGAACCTATCCTTGCCAAAGTTTCCAACCTTTTCCTCTTTTCCTCTTTTCCTCTTTTCCTCTTTTCTGCAAATTTGGCAACTTCCACATTCCCACAAAATACTCAAGACTTTTTCCTTATTCCTTCTAATTAACCTAATCCTCATAATCAGCTTAACCTTATAATTATTAATATTCTTATTGGGCCTAACTTTCACACTCCACCTATTACTCCATACAACCAAATAATGAGTCCAACTAATAAACCTTATATTATTCTAATATCTATATTAATATTATTACTAATATTAATCAACCAATCAATTAAATATCAATCAAATAACAACTTAACAACTTAAATCAATATTTCTCGATATTTCGCAACTTCAACAATTTCAACAACATATTCAACCATTAATCTGTAATTAATTTAATTAAATAATTAATTAAATTAACGGACGTTACATCTCTCATCTTCACTGTCATCTAAACCTTCAACCATCTCCTCTTTCAACCCATCCATTTCATTTACCTCATTGACAGAATTAGGTTTCGTATCATCAGCATTCAATCCTCCCAGAGAATGTTCCACAAATAAATGTCTAACGATATTCATTGCACTAAAGAATGATGCAAAATCGTATGCATCATCATCCTTTTTTATCAAAATATATCCTTCTTGATTCTCTAAAACTTTAGTCCATAAACGAAAAGTCTTCTTCTTATACCCCCACCCACTTACCAACTTCATAATACGATCCATCGTCCACTTAGTAACTTCAAGGTCATTTACAATCGAATCAACCCCCCCTCTGTAAATAATTTCAGTTGGATTAATCCTAATAAATTCACCCCCATGGTGAAAAGTAACAATAAAAGGTTGGAAATCTTGTGAATGCATCAAACTCAGTTATCATAAAGTTCCCACCGTATTACACTTTAACTGTATTGAAGTTTCAAAATCAACAAACCTTAGACATTGCAAGCTTCGTCTTCGTCGTCAACTGATATCTTGTATTGCTTCGTCGCTTACGGAGTCGTCGTCTTCACAGCTTAGTCTTTTTCACATAAACCCTAATTTTGCAAGGGGGTATAACGAATAGAAAAAAATACAAACTGGTCTGCCTGATGATTTAATAAAAATGCCATGTGGCTAAATTAGAAATAGGACGTGGCAAATACTTCAACATGTCACTCAAGATTCCATAACATCTAACCAGTGGGGGATGATCTGAGAGAATCTACATAACACAAGAGGGAAATTAAAAAAAAAAAATTACGAAGGACTAAAACTTAAACTCGCTAATATTGCAGGAGTGTTTTTATATTTAACCCTTGTATTTATATAATAATTATTTATACATAATATTGGATTAATTACAGTGATAAATTCAAGCAATTTTAATATAGTTTTACTTTTTGCCATTTAAAATAGACCATACTTCTATTTTAAATAACGTGTCAATTAAGAAACGTTACAAATTTTATAGATAAAAAAAATTAGTTGTAGATTTTCAATAAAAAAAAAAGATTATAACTGTTTAAATTTAAAATAGAGAGATTAATTTAATGAATAAAATAAAATATGAGAATCAAAACTATAATTAAGTTTTATATTATAATTTTAGTTGTTTACAAATATTTTTTATAAAAAGATCACTTAAATTAGCATCAAATTCCTTTAGAATAAATTATTTACTATTAAAAAATAAAGGTTATTGAAAAAATCTAACAGTGAAATCTTGTAAAAGTTAATGTACAAATGAACAGTAAAATCTTGTAAAAAATAATGTATAAATCAATAGTGAAATCTTGTGCACGTGCATAATAAATCATTGACATTTTCATAAGGATCGATTAGGAGACAATAACCTACTCATTAGTCATTTGCATTAGTTTACTTAGTTATAATTTTGTGTCTTTAATTTTAAGAAAATGATTAAAAAATAAGATTTTAAAAACATGCATTACACATCCAATGGCGTATCACTAAATTGTAATATTGTTATATCACATTTTAAAATGTTTGAATAAAAAAATAACAATATCATTGCCTAAACAATTAAAAAAAGTAACATAACATTGCACAAGGAGACATATCATTCTGATTTCCATTTGAAATATTTACAATGCATCAACAAAACACATTTTATCTACATGATGAATTGTAAGTAATGCTTGTTTGATTCTGCAAATGATACATCACTACAAACTCCAACTTTCGATGTCGACAAGATTATCTCTGCATCTTGTAAGGTAAAACCATGAATAATCGGCAGAGGTAACCCTTTACTTAGATGTGAATTCGCATACGGCAAAAAGACCGTTTCAATAATCGTCCACATAGCTGGCTGCATAAAAAAAAAGATTACACGCCCTTGATCAACGAGACACATCTTAAAATTAACTCTATGTCTATTTGGATAAACAGCTTATTTAATCGCTTATTGCAGAAGTGCTTATCATATAAGTGTTTAATCGTGAGCATAAACGCACCTGAATAAGGAACATTCGTAGATTGCCTATGTTGCTCCATTTCAACGACATTCCAAAGTCATCCAATCTTATGGTACCTACAAGGTTGTTTCCGTTTATTTTGACCAAACCCGAAGCTTGAATCATCTGTGCAAACAAGATTGTACAAAAACACGGATAAAGATTTGATATGACAAATTTCACAGTTGAATAGAATGGTAACACCAAAGTAATGTGTTTGGAAAATCAGAATGGTGATGGAAATATCAAAGATCCTACCAATGAGATACATGCTACTGGTATTACTTCATCTTCTTCCAAAACATCAATTGTTAAGTCCGCGAATACGTGCACACCAGCTTTCTGATTTGAAATCTCCACAGCCGGAGGAGAAGACAAAGATATATTCAAGTTCATTCGATGATTTGGATATTTCTTGTACAGTTGAGGAATAATAAATCTCCATCCAGCAGTGTTCAATACAGATTGATCTGGTACTTGGTCCACAATCCAATGCATAAATTTTGCCTGAAAACATCGAAGCAATTTCTCATTCGACACAATTCATGCTTTAAAAGACCATGAACAAACATTCGAACTTACATCATAATACAGGGCTGATGCCGAGTTGAAAACAGCCTCATCTAAAGTGATTGCTAGCATTTTCGATGAATTTGTGCATAGAATTGGAAGTTTCGAGTTCTTGTGTAAGAGGTTAGGAATATGTACGAAATCTTTTCTTTGAATAAATAACCCGTTGGTTTCAAATCCAACGGACGACTCACTTAGTAAAACATCGTTGATAATAGTTACATTCAAAGAAGAGTGATCGTCGACCGGAACTTCCTTTGGAAGACTTTTCAAATACGAGTCGAGCTTTGAAATCCCTTTTCCAAGTTTCTTCGTGATAGCATTTTCTACTGCTGATCCAATATTCCCTTCAAAAGCATCAATAATCCTGTTAGATATGAATAAAAACTAAGTCAAGACACCGCAAAATCATTTTCCGTCGCATAAAAATGATACATGAAAAATGGAATATCGCTGACATACCCTTGATAAAGCCAAGATGCACCTCCATCCAATTTTATTGAAATATCTTTAACAGAAGAGTTACAGTTCTTAAGTTTGAGATCCAAAGATCCTTCTTGGTTCTCTAATCCCAACGAAAGTTCAACTTCCATTCCTTCGACCTTTCCAAAATCAGCACTTATCAAATTTTTTATTTTATTTTTGAAGAAATTAAACAGATAAAAACAAAAATATTACTAACAAGAAACAGGTATAGATTTTTGGATCAAACTCTGTGGGCTGAGAAAGCTATAAGCCTACAACAAAGAGAATAAAGATGAAGAGGACGATTGTGCAATGACTCCAAAGCGTGTGTGGACGCTAAGTTTAATTTTGATTCGCCCTCACCAGTTTCTCAGAACTGGATGCAATAGGTACCTGAGAATCTAATCCAAAATATTTTGGAGTTTTTTGATATAGATTACACATCCACTATCAAGCATATCATTCAGTGTCAGTTTAAAGAACAATAGCTCCCTAACTTCGATTTACACACAAGTGTTAGGAATCAAAATGGACCGCTTATTGACGACAAGCCCATTAAGACGATTAAGGGTTTAATTGCTCAGTAATTTCTCCTCATCCCCTGTTTCTCAAAATATGCAGTTTGTCTAGATTTCAGAATCCGGACATGCAAAAAACACCCTCTTTTCCACACCCGGATTGTATAATATGGACAAGCAACGTGTTTCGAGAAATGGCGGGGAGAAACGATCTAACTTCTAGGAATGGGTTCAATCCAAAAGGAACAAAGTGAGATGCAAATGGTTCGACAACTACCAATTGAACTTAAGACAGCAGTGAAGCATATTCATCATCTAATTGCTGAGTCATTTTAATTCTGTTGAGTCTGTTAGAGGGAATCTAGGGATTGTAATGGCGTCAATCACTTCAATTCTCTAAAAACTGCTATCTAAATATTTCCAAATTGATGAAAGTTATAACACATGATAAATAGTCAAGAAAGTTAGTGTATAGTAGCTTAGCATAGCCTTTTTCCCTTCCCTTCAATTCTGTAATGATTGGATGTGTTCTAAACTTGCCAAAGTACACAACTTCAGGGTCGTCCACACATGGCTCACGAATAAGGTCTAATAACAAGCGTTAATAGAAAGATACACAAAACAGGTGGGTCTTCATTCTTGCCAAGGATACACGATCACACCCTACATTAGATCTTTCACCGTTGAATCTAATAAAACGGCAACCCGCACAAGGCTGCGAATCACACCGAGACAGTTTTAAGCGCCCATACTATTTAAGCATCAAATCTCCCCTTTTCAAGTATTCGATTCAATCTCACTCTCATACTACTTTTCACTCACTTACTAACTAAGACGTTGGAGTGCTAAGTTCACCCCCTCTCTCGGGTACCAGAAACTTGCTCCACTACACCGAGACTTTATTTCACCACATCACTGGTTCATTATCGAAACAATTCATAGTTTTGATTTTGACAAGAGTTTAAGATCATAAACAATTATTTTTCATTCTCCTTCTACATTTAGAGTTACATTCAAACTTATACATTCTTTCATGAACTAACTCAAATGATAAGATTCATTCATTCATTCATGATTAAACACATCCAATCATGTTCTTTGATTCTACTATTTACACTCAAAACATCCAAACATAGTGCAACAGGCTAGAGCATATCAAAATCAAACAAAAATTCTCATACCTGAACATGTGCTAAACCTCGATCAGAAATCTCAACAGGACCAATCCAAGTACTATAAGCATAATACCAATTCATACTCAAATTACACCTAACCCCAGAAGCAACAATCAAAATCCCACTCTCTCCCGGCTTAACAACCGATGAAGCAACATCAATTTGATAAATAATCACATCAGAAAGCAGCAAGTAAACATTACCCAAAAACGGAATCTTTGCACCCTTATCAATATTCGGCAATCGGAGTGAAACTATAGAGGAAATAGCCTTTTCCACGAGAAGGTTTTTCACGAAATCAAGGCCGTTTTGGGTGATTAACATGGAGATGAAACCTTGGGTTTGGGGTGGAGATTGTGCGTGTCCGTGAATGAAAGAAGAGGCGAAGAGAAGGAGGAGAAGGAAAGGTGGCATTTTGATTTGTGGGTTGTGGAGATTGGAGTTGTTGTTGATTCATGGGATGAAAGACAGAGACAACATAAGGGAACATGGAGAAGGAAACTAACTAACTTGCCCCAACAATACTCTTAACTGTTGAAGATGATGCGAAAAAGACAAAACTACCCATCTTCTTTTAATTTAATGTCCCCGTTTGGTAGGTAACAAACCATGTTTTTTTTTTGTGGTTCAATGAATTTTCCCATATGTTTTAGATTTAATTATGCTTTTTATTATTTCAATTAGGGATGGTAAGAAAATGTTTTAAAAATAGAACGGTCATCAAATTGATGAGATTATTTAGTTATTGGTTCATTGATCGAATCACATGCTTAAATCAGATATTTATAATAAAATTATATATTATTTATTATAACAGTTGAATCGGATGATTTGGTGTCTAAAAAATATCACGATAATTACAAAATTTTAAAATATCATAATCTTATATATTTATTCTTTAAATATAAATTATAAATATAATCATCACCCACAACAAAATAATACAAAATGCAAATTTAAATAAATTTTAAAATATACCTAATTGAAAATAAGAGGAAGTTGTTCCAAATAAGTTTTGAATAAAGTTTAATTATATTTTATTTAAAAAATATCAAAACGGTGTCGTTCTGTTTGAAAAAAAAGCATGTATTTGAACCGTTTCAGCGATTTTGACTAGTTCTCACTGGTTCAATAATATATCTGATCCAATAATTAGATCAGACCGATGACCTCTCAAGTTCCCAATTCGACTGGTCAGTTTGATCTAGTTTTTAAAACAGTGATCCGTGGTATAGGTGGATAGGGGTGAAAATATGCTAGACTAACTAACATGAACCTACAGTTTAGTGTACATAGGCTCATACCAAGTTAGTTTTTTTAAAGTAGAAAAAACTTAGATTTTTTTATAAGTCTATTTAGTTAAAAATGTCAAGTCACGTGCCAAGAAAAAACTTTTTAAGTCTATCAGACTGGCCTATTTAAATAAATCTGAATAACTTTAATATTATTATTATATTTTATTTGTACTTTGAATTAAAATACAAAAATAAAGAGTAGTTATCGTGAAGAATTTGAGAAAATGAAAAAAATCTTATGAGCAATGTCATAAGTTATTTTTATAAGTTCTCCCCTACAAATAATATAACATAACTTATGTTAATAGGTAAAATTAAATAAGTCAATGAAATAAGTATTTAGTCTCGTTGATCTTTTAATTTGTTAGTTGATTTAAAAATTAGTTAAATTTCTTATTTGCAAATGTTCAAATAAAATAGACTTTTATATAGGTTAATAAGTCAAACAAGATTTCGAAAAGGGCAAACTCAGGTTTAAAAATAAGTTTATGACATGTCAGACTTAAGCTTTACAATTTTTAGCAAGTCAAATTCAGACTTGACAAAGTCTAACTCGACCCAACTTATTTCCACCATTATCTGCATATAAAACTTATTACAAACATGAGTTGAATAGTTTAATGGATATTCACGCATAAAATAAATCGATATTTAGTTATCTATTTTCTTATGGGCACGAATACAGATTTGATGATACTCATATCCTGAATACTCATATACGTTAATAATTAACAAAATTATTTAAATATTAATTTGTTTAATTTAAAAATATTATTATTATTATTATTATTATTATTATTATGTTAAACATGAAATTATTATTATTATTATTATTATTATTATTACTATTATTATTATTATTATTATTATTATTATTATTATTATTATTATTATTATTATAGTTATTTTGTTGAGTACGCAACTATTATTATTATTATTATTATTTTGAATTTAATATACTATTTGATAAAAGAAGAAATAAAATAAAAATTCAATTGATATGCATTGACAATGTAAGATATTTCATACTGTGAGCTAATTATTGTTGAAATATTAGATTAGATTTAATATTTAAATATAATTCAAGTTGTGTAAGCACAAGCCCAAACCCAATTAGGGTTGTATATAAATAGTCATAGTGTGTATCTTTATTTTGTACAATACAATTCAAGTGAATAATATAATCCTTATTTTCTTTATTATTTTCTCTTTCTCTCTTTATAAAAGTGTCTCACACACTAACAAATTGGTATTAAGAGCTTCCGATTATTGTTCTTGATTGAGTTTTCAAGAATTTCACGTCAGAGATCGTGTTTCCAGAGCAAGTGAATTAATTGTTGCAAAGATGGCTAGTGATAAGGGCATTCTGAATTCACTTCCAATGCTTGACGACAAAAATCGAATCTGATGGAAAAAACAGATGTAATCCATGTTTGGCCTCCATGAAACCTCAGAAGTGGTACCGACGGTGTTCTTGCCTTGGCTGCAGATGCAACTGAAGCACAGAAATTGCCCGTAATGAAGTCAAGAAGAAACATTGCAAGGCTGCTTATTGCAATCAAACAGCGGTCGACACTACTAACTTCGACAGGATTTCTCATGCTAAAACAGCGAAGGATGCATGGGATATTCTGGTGAGGTGTTACGAAGGAGGGGAGAAAGTCAAGGTTTTCAAGTTACAAACCTTGCATCGACAATATGAGTTATTATCGATGAGAGAAGACAAAAAAGTTACAGAATATGTGTCGAAGGTTTTGAAACCCGTCCATCTCATGAAGGATTGTGGTGAAACCATGACTGATAAGATGATAGTTGAGGAGGTAATGAGAATGTTAACCTCTCACTTTGATCACGTTATCGTAGCTATTCAAGAATATAACAATCTTGAAACCCTAAAAATGGAAGATTTGGTTGGTTCGTTTGAGGCTCATGAGATGAGGATTGTCGAAAGGAAATGAGTTCAAGACTAGATGCAGGCACTGCAAGCTCAATTATGGAAAAGGAATGGTGGTTCCAATAAGTTTAATGGTAATGTCGACAAGACTCAGGGAAATAAGTATTGTTCGAACCCTCACAAGCATTAGGTCAAAGACAGAGCTTCTGAATCCTCGAAAAGAGGAGGAGGAAACTATCGAAAGGACAAAGAAGATAAAAAATGTGTGCAGTGCTATAACTGTGAAAAGTGGGGTCACTTAGCCAATAATTTTTGGTACAAAAAAGACAAAGGATCAAAAGGCAAGGACAAAGGAGCGAACCTTACACACCAAGATTAAGATGATTCCGAAGGTGGTATGGTGGTCATGGCTGCAGTTGTAGATAACCATGTCGAATCCAAGATCTAGTTCCTCGACTTAGGCTGCTCGAATCACATGACTGGTTGAAAGGAGTGGTTTGCAAATTTTGACGAGTCGAAGAATAGCAAGGTAAATCTTGCTGATAATAGTTCATTGCAAGCAGAAGGTACTGGCAACATAGTCTTTCAAATCAGTAATGGAGGGAAAGTTGTGATTAAAAATATGCTCTATGTACCTGAAATAAAGTGCAACTTGTTAAGTGTTGGACAACTAGTCGAAAAATGTTTCTCAGTATTCATGAAAGATGAAGTTTAAAAATTGTTCGACACCAAGAATAATTTAGTCTTTAAATCCCTCTGTTGAAGTACAATACGTTTAAGACTATGATCAGTTCGACTAAAGTACAATGTCTAAAAATTGGTGTCAACCATAAGGATAGTTGGTTGTGGCATTTGAGATTTGGACATTTGAACTTTCGATCACTCAATCAGCTGATTACTCAAGATATGGTATTTGGTATCCCAAGTATTGAGATGCCAGACAAACTCTGTGAAGGCTGTTTAGTCAGAAAGCAATCCAGAAACTCTTTTGTTTCGACTATGCCAATGGGATAATCATGTATACTCTAAGTGGTATATTCAGATGCATGTGGTTAATTCAAAGAACATACCATTGGTGGAAACATATATTTTTTTTGTTTATCGATGAGTTCAGTCGAAAGTTGTAGATCTATGTGATCAAGAGAAAGGACGAGGTATTCAAAATCTAAGAGATTCAAGATACTTGTCGAAAACCAGAGTGATAAGAGGATAAAAGTTCTGCGAAAAGATGGAGGTGGTGAATACACATCCAAGATGTTTGAATATTTATGTGCATATCATGAGGTGACTGCTCCTTATACGCCTCAACATAATGTAATTATAGAAAGAAGAAACATAACCATATTGGATATGGCGAGATGCATGCTTAAGAAAAAGAATTTTCCAAAATCCTTATGGGGTGAAGTTGTTTTGACTGTGTTGTACCCCAAAATTTTCCCTCTCATTTATCAAGATTTTTCTCACAAGACTTTTTGGACTCAAGACAAGATTAGGATTTGGTCAGCTCAAGGCATCCCCTTGCACTGACAACCTAAAATTAGGGTTTGGGTTTGCACAAGGATTTTTGGACCACCAATACTTCATGTGACTTTCATACACCATCTTGGACCCCTAAGATTGCTCATGTTAAGTTTCAAGCCTTGAACCACACTTTTACTCAGTCAATTGAACAGTTGACCTAAAAATCAGTTGTATTGGGGGAAAAGTCAACCATGGCCAATTTACGGTCAAACTTCATAATTTTTGATCCACAACAACATTTTAGACTCATATGTACCATTTGATCAAGTTTGTATCACAGCTCCTCAAGAAATTTGATCAAATCATCAAAAGGGCAAAATGGTCAAAATTAGGGTTTTGACTGAGAAAGGGCAATTTCTGATTTTTAACCTAGACAATGACCAATTGGGTTCAAACATGATTTCAAGGACTCAATAGCATCATCTTGACCTAATCACATGGTTCAAAAGATCTCAAGTTTATTGAATTGACAAATGAATTTTCCAGTCAACTGATCAAAAGTCAACTGTATATTGAAAAGTCAAACTTTGACTTTTTAGTCAAAATCAAGTGCCAAGGGTCATAATTCATCAAGATATGTCAAAATATGAAACTTGTTCACTAAGAAAACCAATTTTACAAGTTAGGTTTTTAATTTGAAAATTTTCATGACTTAGAATTTTTCTAAGTATGGAAATTTTCTTATTTTTTCCCAACTTTCCACC